TTTAACCATTTAGTAAGGTGTCAACAGACCCATATTAGTAACTAATCATGAGTTAGTAGTACGAGTATATTATGTCAGTCAGTCAGTATTATGATTTATTTACTTACTCTAATTTAAAAAAAATAATAGCATCAATAAAATTCATAAAATTGGCTTTGAAATATCAAACATCACTTCTACACTATACATACTTGTATACACACATGTGTGAATTCTAAAGCTTAATAGTGAACTAACGATTTGTAATGTAAACTGTTTTGATTTGAAGTAATGATATTGATTTAAATTTGTGTCCATTGAACAAAATGTCTTCAGTCAAAATCAATTTTTTGTATTATACATTTATTAACAAGTTTTCATTTGGTACAAAACTGTTATTAAGCCGGTTGAATACGGTGGAGAGATCGGGTAGGATTGGACCAAACAAATTGTTAATAAGAAACGATTGATAAAAGTTTTATTTTAAGTGATTATTACCAATGCTTATTGGAATTTTGTTCAGTCATGTTTAGTTCTCTTTATAGCTTATGAAGCCCCGTTAAATACAGCCAGAAAAAATTTAAATTAAAAAAAGAGCGTCTTGTATTGAACATCAGTCAGATCAATATAGACTTTACATTTCTAATCTTACTATTAAAACTTTGCATAAACAAAATTAATATAAACTTTACATCGAATTGAAAAAATATTTGCTTAATGTAATTATTGGTTTATTTATTAAAACTTTTAAGTAATTAATATTTATGTAAATATTACTCCGTAAACTAATATTTACATGAAAATACAATGTAAATACTACTTTATAAAAATGCAATTACAGCTCTAGGATGCAAGTCCGCAAAAAAATAGCAATTATTTTTCTTGGCAATTAGTATTATTATATACGTAAAACATACAACAAAACTAATGTACGACAATTATATAAATAATTAAAAATGTTTTGTTGGAATTAAGAAATTAGAAATTACTCACTAGATCGACCAATAAGTTAACATTAGTTATATTATTTTAGGAATATAAATGTAATATTAGTTTATATATATATATATATATATATATATATATATATATGTATATATATAAACCCCAATACTTTACTATATACAGTTTTATTGCCGTAATATATATTTTTCGCTTATCTCGTGCTCGAGCGGTGTTAAACCGTGAGCGGCTATTAAACGCGGAAAGAAAATTGATACGTACGTAATAAAACGTGTAAAGAGCGCCTGTCACAACAATTTCCATTGTCATCGCTGATGAAAAATATCGCATTTATCGTATGTATACGTTTTTAGATTGCAATAATCATATACATGGTAATGACAGAAGCAATCATCTTCAATCATCATCATTCCATTTAATTTTAAAAAAATGTACTTATGGTATGAGTATATTGTTCTGTACAAACCAGCCATATAATTGAAAGTGGATGATTATTTTATTTGAGTTTATGTGCGCAATCAGTATATTATATTTATATATATACGTTATCACTATTTTTAGTATCATTATATAATAATATATTTATTATTGAATTTCACAAACTGTCGCTAAACTTTTATAAGCAAAGCTTTTGCAATATTTCTGAATATGCTAATTAAAATCCAATTTACTTTTAATTTTAATTTAATTTGTTTTTCCCTAGTTCCTCGTTTTTTATCATCCAATAGGGTATAGTAATCGCAAAAAACTCAAAAATGAAAATTTTTGCTTATCTTTACGTTTCAAAGATTCTGAACAAACAAAATGTATGTCTGTGTAGATACAGACTTTCGTCAATGTTATCAGGAGCACCGATGAACCGATTTGTTCGGAAAACATTCTATTCCTACTGATCAGAAGAAGAGCTGATCAGTTCTTCAGAAATATTGGTCCAGTCGTTTTAAAAATACCGGGCCAAAATCAGAAAAATGGCGAACAAGTTTGTGAAAAAGCGGATCACTCTATTAGATTGATTCAAAATACACTTGTTAGCAAGTCGTGCTGATTAGTCAAATATGATATTTACAAATCATTATTATTAATTCCTATACAAGTGAAAATATTGTAACTAGGCATGTGTACATGTAAGCAGGTAGACAGACAGACTTTTAAACAGCTGAAAAAGTCGAAAAGCTCACAGGTGGTCAAGTACACAGGTAGACAGCTGGAGAAATAGACAGGTGGAGAGGTAAATGGGTATATACAGGTTGACAGAAAGATTATATAAAAATCAAATTATAAATGATTGAATCGATTAGTTCGATATTTGTGCAACGTGCCTTAAAGTAAAATAGCACAACTAGTTAAAAATTGTTTTTGACCTTAATAAATTATCGTTTAACCCCCTCATATTTAACATTTATACCATAAATAGTATATTTTCACAACAAGAGTTTTTAAATTTTACTCAACGCATATTTAAAAGATTTCTTGTTGTCAGAAGCATCTTAATACTTTAAGTGGTAAAAGTTATATTAATATTATGCAAACATTATATATTAAAATTGAAAAAAATGACCGTGGTTGAAATCGTTTAAAACCATCATGAAATTTAAGGCATATGTATTTTTATAAAAAATACCTTGCTTAAAAAGACTTGAATAGTTCTTGGGTAAAATCAATTGTACTTTTTAATAACTTGCATATCAGCCTTACATACATAATAATTAAGTGTAAAAAAGCAATTAAAATAGGTTGCCACAAAAAGAATATTTGAACGACCAAATATATATTATTAAGCTTTACGTGATAACTCATAATGTGAGTAACCGACAAAATTAAGTAATTATTAATCGAATGTAAGCTCATTCGGTTTATAATAATAATCCGTGATTACATCCAAGGGATTGATGGAACAAATCACCATGGAAGCATAATATTTCTGTCCATTGATGCATTATTACATTTCAGTTAATCACTATGTCAATGGATAAATGATTATTATTGACATACGCATGATGAGTGGCGTGCGGGAATATGGCTTTGTCGGGCCATTTCAGTGATGAAAACTCTATTGATTTTGTACTAATTATTATTTCATAATTATATCTAAAGTTCTACACGTTCCATATATTAATGCCGTGTAATGAGTTTAATTTCGTTGCGTGCAAATTGGACAAATGTAAACAGAAATATGCCCTAATCCATAAAATTTAGGTTACGAAGATATATTTAATGCGTGTACCTTGTATAAATGACAAAATATAGATGTCACACAAAAAAAACTATTAAATTTGTATTTATGAAAGCAAAGTAAAACTTTTACAAACGTTCATGAGTGGTTAAAAAACATTATCAAAATTATATTAGTTTAGATGTCATAGACGTAAAGATAAATCGTAAATACATAATTTTTATGCAACTACATATATTCAAAATTGATAAAAAATAAAAATTAAATCTCACATAAGATTCAAAATATAGAAAATAAAAGTAAAATCTCATATAAAACTTGAGAATGAAATATAGGAAAAGTCGCTGTGCTCCAAATTATTGAGAATAATAATACTAATTAATGTTATAAATTAAAAATATTTGTTAATTAGCTCATATAGCTCATATAAAAACAAAATCCATTTTATTACTTAAATAAAACAAATAACTCACAATCTACTAAGTTTTTGCTTCAAATACTAGGAAAATAAGTTAGAAACAAATATCTTTTTAAGGTTTCTATCAGATGATATATAAATGTACTAAATCAAGATAGATTCTATTTAAACTTTACTAATGCAGAGCTTATTCTAGCCATCTAAGAATTGAAATGCAAATTTACAAACAAAGGTACCTACACGTAAGAATTTATATAAAAACTGACACAACTTATGTATAAAATTCTTCGAAATTAATAAAGTCTTTTGATTAGCAATCATTGCTTCCATATCCATTCAATGAAAGTTTTATAATAAACTAGAATTTTATGCAAATTCTTTCACAAAAAAAATGCCAAATTGTGAGACTTCACTTTTGAAAGTTACTGAACTTAACGTATCGTAATATCAACATATTAAATATTGCATCTAATGGATTTAGAACTTTATAGTCATACAAAAAAAAATTGAGAATCTCTAATTTCCTAGTATGATTTAAATGTGAAAATTGATTTCAGTAACAAATCAAAATATTAGTTATGTTTAACATCGTATATCAATTGCTATGAATGACTAGTTAGATACAATATGAAGAAACTACTAAATAACTACGTTTTTAGCAAATAGATATTAGGTTGTCAAATATCTCCCTTCCGCCTTTTTGTATTATAAACCAATAGCAAAAAAGCGGAAGGGAGATATTTGACAACCTAATATTTAACCTGTAACCCCGACATTTTTCTTATTGTGATAAACTTTATTGACTGATAAACAAATAAAACATCGTATACTCGTATTTGCTAGCATAGCTGAATGGTTTATAACTGTATAGATTGTTGTTTGTATATATCATAATATTCCTGTATCTGAATATCCAAACCATATCCAACTTTTAAGTTATTTTTGTTTGGCTAAAGATAGTCCGAACGAGGTGGAATCAAATTGGAAACCGTAGATTTTTTTCTTTTTTATATATTTGTTTCCATTTCATGACGAGAGTATCCGAAAGAGGTCGTTTTCGCTTCAGTCTTTCACTCTAGTGGGTCTTTTAAATTGTGTTTAAGGAATGGATTTTAGTAGTCTATGATTTTATTTTCATAGTTGTTGATATAAATCTAGAATTCCCCATAAACTGCATTGATATTTAGATCTTTATGTATGAGCCAATTTGATATATATTTAGGGTCATTTACTATTCTATTCAGAAGTTTGGATTTGGAATCTTTGTATAAATGTGATATTTGATTTCTTAGATATTTCTCATAGTTAAATTCCGTTATAGTAAAATATAAATTTAAATAATGACGATATAACTTTAAAGCTACGTGATGCGCTACAAAACATTTTATAAATGTATTCATTAAATGATATTTGTTTTAGAATAAAAATATCATGACTATTTTTAATAAGATGAATGTGATAACTTACCGACGGCTGTCAATATGAAAACTAGAAGTGCGAGCAGCGCCCGAGTCCCGGCGTCCGGTGGACGGAGCCTCATCGCCCCGCGAGCTTTTCTCTTTAATTTGGAAAATGTTCGGTCACGTGACCGTCGCTTGGAACCAATGTGCGGCCAACGTCATTGCAATGCGCCACTCTGCAAAATCAATAATTAGAATAAATTTCATTATTATTATCAAAATATCAATTAATAATAATTATTTTATGCACATAAACATATACTGTTTAAAAAATATTATAAATTAAAACATTTGATATAAAAACAATAAATAGTTAAGTAATATAATTTAATAAATAATAATTCATTATAGATATATAAACTTAATTCAATACAATGAATTAAATATTATCTCAAAACATGTATACAATAAAATGAATATAGGGTAGAGCGGGGCTTAAAGATCTGTATATAAAGAAGTCCAACGCCTATATCTCAAAAATAAGTAAAGTTAAAAATTGTTCAACAACAATATTTGAAAGTAGAAGGAAAAAGATGTATGAGTCGCCACCTGGATTCTTACTACGTCACTATTAATACCCTACAGGAAATTAATAATTCTAAAAATAGAGTTTATTTCATGACAAATATGGTTTGATTTGAGCGTAGCACCCAGGCAAACTATACAATAAATAAAAGGTGTAAATTTATGTACACGTGCGTAGTTGGAAAGAACGAAACCATTTTCATTTTTTTACATTTATGTTACAACTGTTAATGTGTGTGTGTAAACACCAAATTTACATTCTCCAATAATATATTATTCTGTCGATAATTCTGAGATATACATTTTATTTCCCAAATATAAAATACATTTTAATCCATAAAATATCCTTGCAACCTCGGCAATATGTGAGGACAATGTAATTTTATGTGGGCCTTTTATGATGCAGATCTTAATCACTGACCACAAAAAAGGATGTTTATGGTCAGCACGTGGCTTCAGGAAATACTGTAAAATTTATGGCAATGTTTATAATGTGTTAATCGAATAAATATAGATCCGTGCATTAATGTTGATGCACATATTAGTATAAGATAAATATAACTGAAACTAAATTATGTTTGATATACCTTAAGTATGAGCTGATATAGTAATTCAAAGTAATAATTGAGACTTCGACTTTAATAGATTATAAACATGTTTCCAGTAATAAACTAAGTTTTGTGTGTTAATTTGTTTATCGATTTTTAATAATAATTTCTTTGCATCTCTATGCTACTTTATATACATATTTTTATTTCAATCAAATGAAAATTATGTAAGGTACTATACTATAAGTGAACTTTTCGTTGATATTCTAAAAGCTTAGTGCAGAAATTGCTGATGAGCTTAAGCTCATCTATATGATTTCGACACAACATACATTTTAATGACCCTATTCAATATTCTAACAAAATGAACGTTTTCAACCAACTATTTAAAACTTTGCAATTTGTTTGTTAGTAGATAATAAAATTCTAATGAAATAATGTTTTTATTATATAATTTGTTCTAATAAACCATCATCTCATGGTTTATAAACTGATAATTAGCTGATAAAAATATAGCCTATAAAAATATTGGCTACTGTATAAAAATTATTACAAATCCACTCGTACAAATGAATTTATAACAATAATGAAAATGATAAATAGATAAAATAATAGCTAGATAAATGATAAAAATGAAATAAAGAATCTTCTGATTTATTAACATTATCAATAAAATATTTTATAAACGCTCAATAAATGGAATGCATTAACGACAATACTCTCTTATTCAACATGCACAAAATTGAGAAATCGTTAAATAAAATATACTAGTTACACATGGCATCGTGCTTTAAGGTAAATTGCTGAAACTGAAAACCCATACCGTTAATTAAAGTATTTAAAAGCTTTGAGTTTTATAGAAAATTTTGAAATTTTTCGAAAATTTTGAGTTTTTTTCAAAGAGCTCTAAAGAGTACCTGCTTTAAGGTCAAAGTATTGAAGCGCGTAAGCGCCGTAACCCAATCTATAGGTTAAATATTATGACAAATTTATGAACTTTTTAAACTTTTTCTACATAATATTTGATATTTTAATATGCATATGTTTAATGATCATTTTTGACCACTAAATATGGCATATTTCTAAACTTTTTTCATTGGATATCCAAAACTGCTATACGTGCCTTCCCATCAATTTAATCAAATCTTCATTGCAAAATTTTTGTTTTATCAAGTAAAATGTTTTCTGAATCACTCACAAATAGGACGCTCTGTTCGCTCAAAAACAAAATTGCCATTTCTGGTACTTTTTACCCCGTATCTGCAAAATGTCTCGACCTGCTTCTGTCAAAAATAATCAGCACATTACCCCATCAATAGGAATCGAATGTTTTATTTAATTATTCCAATCGGTTGATCTGCGCTCTCGAGTACAACAATTCTTTGTAAGATATGACAAAATTTTCATTTTTATTACTCCATAGAAAGGTAAAAATCAACACAATAATAAACAAATTAATTCAAAATTTTGCCGAAAGCGATAAAATTTAAAAAAAAATATCTTTTTTAATATGAGTTACGACAATTTGATTGAACTAACTAAAATCTAGTTTTTGTTGTAACTTATTTTTTCTTCAATAAAATTAATAATATGAGTGTGATGATTAACAAATTGCAATGAAAATGTATTGTTTGATAAATAAGTTTTCAATTGAATTAAATAGCTACACGATTAGGGTATGTGTTACGATAAGAGTAATAGTTTAACAGTTTCTTGTAATATCGTTAGTTCGTGTTTCCTTTAAGTGCAAACATTGTAAACTTTACATCGACATAAGTATTTATCTGATATTAACGTCATAACGCAGCCATTATGAGAAATAAATTGCTTGCGATACAATAAAGCTTAATAGAGCAGCCCACATTAATATGAATTGCGGGATTCTAGTTTCGTTGAGATATGTGCAAACAAAGATACAGAAAGACAGTTAAGCACACTTATCGGACATGGAATCAGTAAATACTTTTTTACATGTATATCACACACAAACACATCTTTGGAATGATAGAGGAAAAACATTTTGCAACTTTACCAACTTCCCTAGAAGTTAGAAAAGTTTCTTTTTCCAAGAAACTTCGATTTGATAATTTCATGTTTTCTCGACGTCTTAGGTCATTTTGTATCGTTTGACACTAACTTTAAAAAAAGTGGGTGTGCGTATGTGTATTTAACTTATAATTTTACCTTTTATCAAAGATTTCTCAAATGCTGTACAAATATGTAATTGATTGTAAATTTCAAAAATATAATTGATGCTTCATCAAATGCAATGCTATTTGTTGAAAGTTGGAAAGATCTTGCGTTGATAGGTATTACGAGAAGATCAGCTGAGCAGTTCCTTCAAGATTCTAAATTTTTCGTCTACATTTTTGATAAAAATACCTAACCGATTTTGATAATCCAAAAACTTCAAGAAAGAAGTCAGATTTTTGGAAAAAAATCTAATTCTACCTGTCTTTGTCTTTGTAATTATTTATTGACTTTTTAAGAGAATTTTAATAAAACTTTGCACAGTGATAAAGTATATGATCTAAACATTGAAGACTTAAAATATTATAGACCTACAAGAGTAGTTTAATTAGACACATTCATTAAATTTGGAATAATGAGCAGCCTATTTAACATATGTCGAAGTTAGTGCAATAATGTGCAAAAAGCAAAATACCAGTTACATCCAGTTAGCTTCCCAAAGGAGAAGTTTATGTTTTCGCCAAAATATCCGATTTGTTAATTTTATATTTTCTCAATGTTTCAGTCATTCTGAATCAAATGAGACCAAATTTGAAAATAGTTATGTGCGTGTATGTGAGCCGATTTTTAAACGTCGACTTTTTCTCTGAGACTGCTGAACCGATTTGAAATATTTAAAAGCCATTCGATGTAGCTGGATCAGTGTATTCATCGATTTTCAAAATTCAAAAACTGTTCGAAAGATATTGATTGAACACCGCGTTGATTAGTTTTTGGTAAAGATCGTCTGGGTCGTTTCTTCTTCAATAAATGTTGAAAAATGGTTTTTTTGACGATTTTGATGAAACTTTGTATAATAATACATTGTTTAGTCTGACATACTAGCATTAGGCCTAATACGATAATCGGTTGAATTATAAAAAAATAATTAAAATTTAGAATTTCGAGGTGAACTTGATCGATTCTAATCAGAATCTATGCCGAAGCTTGTATTCGTCCTGTGGTATATATGTAGCTACTGATTACAGTTGACATCCACGCTTAAATAAAATTCATTTATTATAGCCCGAAATTGAAGAAATAAAATATGCTTCATAAAAAAATTTAATTTATACAATGGCAGATATTAGAAGTTGAAAGACATCAATAGGTATCGATTATTTTTTAGTTAAAACGAAAATTTTATTTTACCCGAGAAAGAATTTTACCTTAAATAGCTCAATCTCATTTCTTATTGGTTAAGTTGATTATGTATACGTATCGGGAAGTTAGTGCAACTTGCCTTAAGGCAAAATGCTATTTATAACTAGTTTTGAATTGTAATAAATACAAATACAAGATCCAAACCATATTGCGGAATATATATTTTTTCGTTTCAACCACAATTCATAAAAATGTAGCAATCACAATAGAAAGAATTAAACTAGTGGTGCATGGCTTCGTGCCTTAAGGCAAATTGCTGGAACTTCCCGTAGCTTAATGAAACATTCGAGAAATTTTGAATATTTTCAAATAGATTATTATAAATAATGTAACTTTCATTATTCTCATTTTATAAAAAGTAAATAAACAAAAATCCATTTGATTAGGATTTAAAATGAAGAAAGTAGTCTAATATTTCTAAGTATTATATAAATTGAATTGCAAAGTTAAAATTATTTAATTGAAGTGTATAAGTGTCATTTAGAACTTTAGCTAGAATTAGAATTAAAATCCAAATTATTTTTGGATATTCAAAAAAAATTTTTTTTTTAACTAAAAAGAAAACTGAGGTAAAAAAATTCTTTTCCCAAAATCAATCGTTTCATCAAGACAAG